CAGATAAAACCGCAGAGATGACTTGATTTTTATTTTAGTTACAGGAATTTTGCAATGATGTTAATCTCCTGATTTTAATGGAGGTATTTATGTCAAGAAGTTCATTTATATGAACTTTTACAGACAGACCTTGAGTGATACATCTTTATAAGGCAACAAGAAATTGCTGCATGAGGATTTATCATGCAAAGTGCACATTTCTCTTGCTCAATCCTTATCATCTTGCTGATGTTTTGTTTCCACAGCCAGAAATCCTTTGCCCTGGAAAACCCAGAAATATAACTTGAAAAGCCGGCATATAATAATCTGACAACCAAGCAGCAACAGGAGCAAGTTAATGATATGGGATGAAACTCCTCCTGTAAGGAGGAACCAAGACATATTGCGTAACTGAGCAGAGTCACTGGCAGGCAGTAGGGAAAAAGATAACTAAATTATTCATAATTCCTTCCACACAGACCATTATCAGGCCAGTGGGAAAAGCACATCTGTCAGTCCTTTATATGACTCCCCTGGCTCCTTGAGCAGGAGTCCCTCTGTCCCAGCCACTGCTTATCTAGAAGCATCCAGCAGCTCCATAACCTCCTCTGTGAAATTCCCTGGATGGATCTCCTTCCTGCAAAACTCTGCACAAACTTTCCAGGTTAGCCTCACAGGTCATCGTGATGTCTGTGCTGGGGACACAGCCATTTGCACCAACAGGAATGTGCGGAGAAGTAACAAACAGCTTGCCCCTCCCTGGGTTCTCACAGATGCTGCTATCTGGCTGGTATACCGGTGTTACCCATGTGTGGTGACTGACCCTCATTTTCCATTGCATTCAACAGAAGAGATGTGTTTTCCAAGAGTCTCTATTTCTACCAAATATGACTTAAGGGAGATTTTCAAAGGACTAGGTGTCACTGATGGATTCTTTAACGATGCTGCTCTATCTGGAATTGCTGAGAAGCTGATTGCTTTGAAGTTTGCAGACAAAAATGGTCATTTGTGGGTTTGATGTAACTGTTAGTCTTAACCTTGCCTAGGAAGAGAGTTGGGCCAGGGTCAGAGAAGCTGGTGCTTGGGAGTGGTGAGCAGGGACAGCAGCAACTTTCCACTCTCTCTGACATGCCGAGGGCTGCTGCATGTCCTGGGAGAAAACAGGAATCCCCGCAGAAGCTCTGCTGTTCCCAGCAGTTCTTCCCTGAAAACAGTAGCATCCTTCACATTGTTGGTTAGCCAAGCATTAGGGCCGGGCTGAAAAATCCATGCTATCTACGTAGGCAGGCCTAGACTTGAGGAAAATAGCTTGTCTGTGCTAGAGTTAAGCAACAGCATACTTGCTCCTGCAAAATCCTGCTGGACCTTGGTCATTTTACATAAAACTGCAATAAACTTTCTGGGTACTTGCAGACATCATGAAAAAAACCCTCTCTGCAGAAATACATTCTGACCAACTCTGCTTCTATCTTGTAAGAGATAGTAGTTACATAGCAATGACTATGGTGGGTAGATTCCTATGTGTAGATAAATTGTAGATTTACCTGGGGTGAAATCATGTACATTCAATGGAAATAATTAGTCACTGCTAATTAGGATGAGTGCATTCACCTCATCCTTAAATAACCTTCTAAATAGCTAAATTGTGCCTGTTTCTCTTAGCTCCCTCTGACAGGGATCCCAGTGTAAGTCACACATAATATGTATATAAATCATGCCTCTCCTATGTGTATGAAGGAAGGGGTTAATAAAATCTCCTCGCTTCTCCCCAGCTAACATTTTGCCATGGTAAAGATTGCTCATTTTATTCTTCCACTTGTTTTCTTATTTTGGCTATTTTTCAAGCCATGCTAATACTTTGCTTTTCACTTCAGTAGTTTCTAAAATACTCATCAAAGGCCTCTCAAAAAGCTAACCAGTGCCCCCAACTATCCTTGAGACCTCATAATTTAATGAGGCCTCCAAATAATGCCAATTAGGGCATATCTGCAGTGTGCACTGCAGGGCAATACAAAGACACTGAGCTATTCCCTACCCAACATGCTGCTGCCTTGGGTGCTCAATTATATGGCATCCTTGCATCAGGATAGCCCAAGCAGGGAGTTCAGTGGGACACAGCATCCTTTTTATAAGCAGAGATTGCTTTGGCCCTATCTTAGCTTTCCTGTTCCTTTAATATTCTGTTTTCTAAAGCTCATTTACCACGGTTATGCCAGACTACCTTGCAAAGCTCTTTTGCCCACAGTTTAGTTCAAGCCTAAGAGTAGCAAGGTCCCTGTTCTTTCTCTCCCTTCAGAGCAGTACATGTTGACATCTTGCTGCCTGCATGATGGGAAAACAGACTTACGTTTGATGTCCAGAAAAAAAATAGCTTACTCAGTCTTTGCTTTGCAAATAAATCTTATTTGCTCTGTTTAATATTTACCAGTGCACATTAACTTAATACTATCCAGCAAAATGAAGAACAGGGAAGAAGCTCTGTGAGAGGTCCAGCACTGTAAGTACTATATTACACTGTCTTAGAAGTCTTTGAATTCATGTTGTCTGTGATCTCTGCTGTTCATTGCACAACATTTAATTATGAGAAATTTTTTGTACAGTAATTGGAAATGATTTTAGCTTCTGGAAGCATGTTCTAAATGTTGAAAACAGGATTCAGTCAGTGATCCAGCTCCTAGCTATAGAGGCAGGATAACTGGGAGATGTGGTCCAAAATGGGTATTCAACAGTCAATAGCAAGGTGAAGAAAAAAACCTTGTCTCTGCTCCCAGAGGTGTAAATTTAGTTGCAATCTCAATGTCTTGACTACTCCAGGCTGATGCCGGGCTAATGAGAGTAGCGTCCTTGTGCCTCCAGTGTGCTTAAAGACCAGGCTACTTGCAGTCATGTGGCCTGGAAGAGAAATTAGTACTTACCAGACCAAAATTAATTACCTCTATTTAGAATGCCTTTTTTTTTTCAGTCGATGCTTTTCACAGAATCACAGAATGGCAAGGGTTGGAAGGGACCTCGGGAAATCATCTAGTCCAACCCCCTGCTAAAGCAGGTTCACCTAGAGCAGGTTACACAGGACATTGTCCAGGCGGGTTTTGAATATCTCCAGAGAAGGAGACTCCACAACCACCCTGGGCAGCCTGTTCCAGTGTTCTGCCACCCTCAAAGTGAAGAAGTACTTCCTCATATTTAACTGAAACCTCTTATGCTTCAGTTTGTGCCCATTGCTCCTTGTCCTGTCACTGGGCACCACTGAGAAGAGTCTGGCTCTGTCCTCATGATATCCACCCTTAAGATATGATTCTGTGTGATTCTGTGATTTTTAAGTGTTTATGAGATCCCCTCTTAGTCTTCTTTTCTTCAGCCTAAACAAACCCAGCTCTCTCAGCCTTTCCTCATAGGGGAGATGCTCCCGTCCCCAAATCATCTTTGTTGCCCTCCTCTGGACTCTCTCTAGGAGTTCCTCATCTTTCTTGAACTGGGGAGCCCAGAACTGGACACAGCACTCCAGGTGGGGTCTCACCAGGGCAGAGTAGAGGGGGAGGATAACCTCCCTTGCCCGGCTGGCCATGCTCCTCTGAATGCACCCCAGGATGCCATTGGCCTTCCTGGCAACAAGGGCACACTGCTGGCTCATGGTCAGCTTGTCGTCCACCAGGACTCCCAGGTCCCTCTCAGCAGAGCTGCTTTCTGGCAGGTCAGCCCCCAGTCTGTACTGGTGCATGGGGTTAAACCACTGCAGGTGCAGCACTCAACACTGGCCCTTGTTGAACTTCATCAGGTTCCTCTCTGCCCAACTCTCCAGACTGTCCAGGTTCTGCTGAATGGCAACACAGCCTTCCAGTGTATCAGCCACTCCTCCCAGTTTTGTGTCATGAGTGAACTTGCTGAGGGTATACTCTGTCCCCTCATCCAGGTCATGATGAATAAGTTGAACAAGACCAGGCCGAGTACCGAGCCCTGGGGAACTCCACTAGCTACTGACCTCCAACTAGACTCTGTACTGCTGATCAGAATCCTCTGAACTCTGCTATTCAGCCGGTTCCCAATCCACCTCACCGTCCACTCATCCAGCCCACACTTCCTGAGCTTCCCTATGAGGATGTTATGGCAGACAGTGTCAAAAGCCTTGCTGAAGTCATGGTAGACAACATCCACTGCTCTGCCTTCATCTACCCAGCCGGTCATGCCATCATAGAAGGCTATCAGATTGGTTAGGCATAATTTCCCCTTGGTGAATCCATGCTGGGTACTCCTGATCACCTTCTTTTCCTCCACTTGCTTGGAGAGGACACCCAGAATGAGTTGTTCCATCACCTTTCCAAAGATGGAGGTGAGACTAACTGGCCTGTAGTTCCCTGGGTCCTCCTTTTTGCCCTTTTTGAAGACTGGAGTGACATTGGCTATCCTCCAGTCCTCAGGCACCTCTCCTTTCTCCAGGACCTTTCAGAGATGATGGAGAGTGGCTCAGCATTTTATCCAGCTTTTTAGACATGCTGAGCACAGGTCCCATACTCAGCACTTCTACAGCTTATATCTCCAAAGTTTCATACCGAGCAGCCAGAAAAGGGGGAACCCAGAATTAACAACTCCCCATGAAAACTTTGATGTAAGACCTAAACCTGGCATTAGACACACAGCCTGAGGCAGACCCTGGGGTGGAATCTCATGCTCCAGAATAAGTATACAGCTGCTATGAACAACATTCAGATAATTTCTATTTTCCTGCAGGTCACTGCTTGCTTCATGTTTTTCAGTTTCTGTCATTTAAGATAATTTAGGTGAGGTACCCTGTGGAGAACATTGTTCTCCAGTATATTTCATGGCTCTTCCCCTGAAAAGGGCAGAAGAGAGACTGTGGGATTGTGTAGAATTTGCTTATGCATGTTAAAGGAAGAGGAAAGGTCATGAAATTGCGCATACACAGCAAGACAGATTCCACTATAGATTCTCCTAAGCTCCTGAGTCTTGGGCTTTGCAACCTTATGGATAGTTTATACATAATAGAGAGAGTCAATAAACTTTCTTGATTTATCCTCAATTTGATGAAATATTTAAAGCATTTTTTTTAAAAATAATATAGTTCTCGAGTTCAGAACTGCTACACAAGAGGCAAAAAGATATAAACAGTTTAAGGGGTGAGCATTTAGATGGATTTTATTCACAGCTATAACTTACACTATCTCTGTATCACTGCAGTGCTTGAAAACCCAAGTGATAACAAGACCATGGGTACTACAGAAACTTATCAGCAAAAGTCAGTCCCTCTGCCAAAGTACTTACAAAATACATGGGGGCCAGCCAATAAGTGAATTCAAAGGCACTTAGTAGTGCAATGAGGCCATGCTGGTCAGAGGCAAGAACTATTTCAGGAGTAATACCTCACAAAAGCCTACACAACATGGACTTGTTCCTGGTGATGTCACGTAAATATCTTCCTTCCTTTGCTCTTTGGAGGGTAACTTATAGAACTGTCTAGAAATAGACTATCCAGGAAACCAAGTAGAAGAGTATTTCTAAATAGAGCAGTAATCCTCAAGACCTGACATCTGAAAATCAGTATCTAGAACACAAAACCTACTTTTATGCAGGAAAGATAAAATTCTCTAGATCTAAAAATTGCTCTATTCTTTCTTAACAGAACTGTTCAGAAGGAAATGAAGTCTGCATTGTATTTATGTTTATTACTTCTTGGACTTCAAGTCCAGGGTCAACATAAGTCCAAACTCAATGATGAACAGCAGGAACAAAAAATACTTCGTTCCTCAGAAGACCATTCCCAGTCTGAAGGTGAAAACTTGGCCCATGTCAAAATAGCCTCCAGCAATGCTGACTTCGCATTTAAGTTTTACAAACAGCTCAGAGAGGAGGTGGGCAACAAGAATATTTTCTTCTCTCCTTTGAGCATCTCCACTGCCTTTACAATGCTTTCCCTGGGGGCCAGATCAAACACGCTCAGTCAGCTGTACAAAGGCCTCGCCTTCAACCTGACAGAGTTGGAGGAGCAGGAGATCCATAAGGGATTTCAGCGTGTCCTCCAGCTGCTGAATGACCCTTACCGAGATGTCCAGTTGAGCATGGGCAATGCCTTGTTCACAGATGAACGGCTGAAGCTGCTCCAAAAATTTTTGGGTGATATCACAAATTTTTATTATTCTGAAGCTATTCCTAGTAACTTCCAGAATTCTCCAGAGGCTATAAAGCAAATCAATAACTACACAGAAACAAAAACCCATGGGAAAATTGTCGGTTTACTCCAGAGTCTTGATCCAGACACTGTGATGGTTCTGGTTAACTACATTTTCTTTAAAGGTGAGTGACAAATACGGGTAGCAGTTATACACATTAGCTCTGGAAGTCTTATTCAGATCTAAGAAATGTAACTTTTTTCACACTGTGAACTTATTTTTTCATCTAATTTAAAATACGTCTTTCTACTTTTAAATGACATAAGGAAATATTTGAAAGCCAAGTATGAAGTAAAAATAAAAAAGAAAGAAAAAAAAGGACCATCAATGTCATATCAGTTTTAAGCCAGGTTCAGAGCTGAAAATATTCAGAAGGGATGAGCTGGGAAACTTATGATGATGTGTTGAAAAGCACAGGTGTTTGTGCAGCACATGGTCAAACACAGATGACACTTGCGTGAAAGGCATAAGTCTGGAGTCTGTATAGTGGGGGTCTGTGGAATTTTTACTGTTGCCTTAGCAGGCAAAAGCTCAGGTCTTTCCCACAGCAACCCTCAGCCTATATTTTTCTTGCGTGATTTTTATTAAAACCATTGAAATGACGTAAAGCTTATTTTCATGGCCAGGGAACAAGCAACCTTAAATTGAGATAGGCTTGTGGTTGCCTTCACAGTTCAAATACAGTATTTTAAGCATCAACTAATGTGACATGCCTTTATTAGTCTCTTTTTTTGGTTTATTCCATTCTATGCACATTCTTTTGTTAAAAGGCTACTGGGAAAAACCTTTCAACAGTTTGTCCACCAGAGATGATGACTTCTTGCTGGATGCCAAGAATTCTGTTAAGGTCAAAATGATGCATCAAAGCAAAGCCTTTAATGTCCATAGGGATGAGAAGTTGTCTTGCTGGGTAGTAGAAATCCCATATAAAGGAAATGCTGCTGCATTGTTTGTTCTGCCTGATGAAGGGACAATGAAGCAGGTGGAGGATGCTCTGCTAAAAGAAACAGTGTTTAATTGGATGCAATCATTTGAAAAAAGGTAATCATTTAACTGCTGTCTTGTTTAAATATTGAAAAGGCCATAATTACTCATCCAGGCAAAGTAAACCTCAGGATGCCACAATTAGTTGCTAAGCACAGCTCTGAGGATCAAGCATTCCATAGTTTCTTTAAATCAGATGAGGTATTGGGCAATGTTGTACGTAAGGGGAACCCTATCCTCAGCTCCCCTAGTCACAGTGGGCCTGCTGCCAGCTGTGAGGATCCTGCACACAGGTTCATTGCTCTCAGGAGCCTGCCTTGAGTAGGAAGAATCCAGTTCAAAAGAAAATACAATTTCTTTTTCTCCAATCTGGATGATACTTTCCAGCCAGTCACTTTCATAAACCAGCACTGTGCCCCTGCACCTCTGATCAGATTGTGGCTGGTGGGACAGGTACCTCAGTTTCTGCTTCTCTAATGTGGGATTTATGACTGTCATAGAAAGCCAAACCTTAGCTCCATGGGTATTTGGGATAAGTGTTTACCTGCAACAGCTATTGCATCGAGGGATCTTGCAATAATAAAGTCACATTTTTTGTTTATTTTTGAAAAGAAAAATCTACCTGGACCTTCCAAAATTCTCCATCTCTGGCTCCTATGATGTTAAGAGCCTGTTTGAGAAAATGGGTGTGACAGAGGTGTTCAGTGATGACGCTGATCTCTCTGGAATAGCAGAAAAGACTCTTCTGAAGGTTTCCAAAGTAAGTATGCAAACAGAGATGGTAATTAAGAGATTTGTCTACCTCACTTACATGAGGGTTTTGTCTCCACAAAATAGACTGATCCCACTTCTGAGTGTAGTCATGGCTCACTGATAGTAATAAAAGGAGGAGAAGGTTAGGGATTAAATGTCTGTTGTTCCTACAGTTTAATACCAAATTGTTTATTGCATAGTGATTCTGCAAATTCTCTTGAAAGTCCCTGAAGAAGAAAACAGATCTGGAAAGAACAGGAATAATTTCACAAAAATAGCTGGTGTAAAATAATTAATGCATTACAAGAGTCATAGTTATGAAATAAGTTTGGGAATAGTCATTCTTATCCTACATATACACCTTTCATCATTACTGCATTATCTGAGCACCTTAGAATTTATATGGACAACAGACTTGTGGGACAGGGATAGCCCCATTTCACAAAGAAGAAACTGGCACACAGACAAGCAATTTCTCTAGTCTCCCAGGAAATATATGCCATGTGTCATGGGGGAAATGATCCTTCCCTTCTATTCTGCACTTGTGAGACCATCCCTGGAGCATTGCATCCAGTTTGGGGCTCCCTAGTACAAGGGAAATCTGGACATACTGGAACAGAGCGAGTCCAGTGAAAAGTGAGCAGGATGGCTGCATGGCTGGAGCACGGGATGTATGAGGAGAGGCTGGGAGACCAGGAGTTGTTCATGCAGGAGGAGGGAAAATGAAGGGAGGATCTTAGTGCTGTCTTCAGATACCTATTAGGAGGGTGCAGAGAAGATGGACCCAGGCTCTTCTCGCAGGTGCACAGTGACAGGACAAGAGGCAATGCACACAAGATAGAAAATGGGAAATTCTCATCAGATATGAAAAAAAATTCCAACATGGGGGTGAACAAAAACTTGGATGGATTTCTTAGATAGGCTATGAAATTTCAATCCTTGGAAAAACTTGAATCCTGACTGAATGAGACCCTGAGCAACCTTAGACTCAGTGTAAGGTGGTTGGTTGCACTGGATGACCTCTAGAGGTCCTTCTAACCTATATTATTTAATGATTTTGTGATTCCTCACACTGAATTAGGATTTTTTCTACACACAATGAAACTGATGCAAAATGAAAAACTTCTTCTGTGTTAAATATTAAGAACAGAATCTTACTCTGAGAAGCAACAGAACAATAGTGCTCTCTATGCTGCTCAGTCTCTGCAAGCAGCCAGGTTTGACTCTGCCAGAGTGTTGAAGAAAACTCTCCCTGAACTCAGAGAAAACTTTGCTTGTCTTAGAAAGGCTGGACATCAGTATCTCTTTCACACCAGTTCTAGATTAATTTTGTACTTTCTTTTAAAACTACTTTCTCACAGTGTTAAAGCAAGCAAGTTTGTTCCCCAGTTGCTTCTCACTCTTCTGTACCTTGATTTTAATCTTTGCTTCCCTTGCAGGCAATTCACAAGGCCGTGGTGGATGTTAGTGAAAACGGCACAGAGGCTGCTGCAGTGACCGTGGTAGAACTGGTACTGTTGTCTGCAGCGTATCCTCTTCCTCCTCACATCAGATTCAACAGGCCCTTCCTGATGATGATTGTTGACAAAACCACCCACAGTATCCTCTTCATGGGGAAAATTGTGAACCCGGCTGCCAAGGAAGACTAGGCCAGAGCACTTGTACTCCCAAGTGCAGAGAAGAGTGCTTGTGCACATCCCAGGGACATCTTTGCAAAAAGGGACCAGAACTGATCCCTAATTAACAGATAAATAAATAAATATTACATAAAGTTACTCTTAATTTACAAGCAGACAACTGGGGACAAGCATGAAAGGGCCATGTTTACGAAATGTCCCAGGCCAAATAAGCAGCTGTGGGCTCTTCAACAGAAAGTCATTTCCCTGCCTCACTCACCCATCACTGGAACCATGGTCCCTTGCATGCAGATAAACCTTCCTACTCCTGGATGAGAATCTCCCTGTGTCCTGCATGTCAAGTCCTCAGCTCAGAAGCCCTTTAGCTGAGAAACCATCCTTTGCCTCCCTCTCATTCCACTGTGAATCCCAAGAGAAATCTCCTTTGCCTTTAAAGTCCTTCCAAGTCTCAGTGGCCAAGAAGGGAAACAGAAACACAGATGTGTGAAACCTTTCCTGTCCTAGGTGGTGGATGCTCCTGGGTAAAGAATAATCCTTTTCCTTCCAGCCTGACAACTGCCTCCTATGAGCTCCCAACCCCTTGCTCCCATCATTATTCCTCATTAGTTGCTCCAGAGTAAGCGGCCCAACTTTTCTGGCAGGGCAAAAATTTAGCTTCTGTGTCAAGTAAAGCTGCACATCATTGCAGAAATGGTCATCCTTCATGGTCTTGTGCATGTACAGTAATTCCTGGGCTCCCTAGGAGAACTGGATGTGGCAAAACCCACCCTCTGGTTCCAGCAATTGGTAACAGCAGCCTGGGAGGTCATGCCTCCCTTGTCCAAATGCCAGCTTCTGCAAGCTCAGGCTGATGAGCACCTCCAAGAGATCCCTTCCCATTGAGCTGATGTTTGGGGTGCAGCATGATAACTCGGACACCTTCCTGAGCACTGAGTAGGCAGAAACAGTGTTACCAGCAGCACGATGTGGAAAGCTGCACTGTAGCAGATTAATATAATTTATTGCTGATTAAAAATAGAGTAGGATAGTAAGAAAAAAAGACATAATTAAAAACACCTTCCCCACACCCCTTCCTTCTTCCCAGGCTCAATTTCATTCCTAATTCTTCTACCTCCTCCCCCTGAACAGCACAGAGGAATGAGGATGGAGGTCAGTTCATAATGCTTCATTTCTGACACTCCTTCCTCCTCATGCTCTTCCCCTGCTCCGACGTGGTGTCCCTCCCACAGGAGACAGTCCTTCACAAACTGCTCCAGCATGGGTCTTTCCTATGGGGTACAGTCTTCATTTTTTTCTGATAGAAAGACTGCCCCAGTGTGGGTCCCCCATGGCCCACAGATCTTGCCAAGAGCCCGCTCCAAACACAGGCTCTCCACAGGCTGCAGCTTCCTTTGAGGGACATCCAGTTGCTCTGGCATGGGGTTCTCCACAGGCTGCAATGTGTATATCTGCTCCAGCACTGTCCTGCATGTGCTGTGGGGGGACAACCTGTGTCACCAGGGTCTTCTTCAGGAGCTGCAGGGGAATCTCCACTCTGGCGTCTGGAGCACCTCCTTCCTGCCTTCTTCACTGACCTGCAGGGCTGTGGGGCTGCTTCTCTCACAGTTTTTTACTCTTCCCTCTCATAGCTGCGGTTCAGTTTTTACCATTTCCTCAATACACTTTCCCAGAGGCACCACTGCCTTGGCTGAGGGACTCAGCTGTGTCCTGGGGTGGGTCTGTTGGAACCAGCTGGAACCGGCTGTGCCCAGCATCAGGCAGCCCCGGCCTCTCCTCACAGAGGCTGGCCTGCAGCCCCTGCTGCCAGCGCCTGGGCACAGACACCTGATACACAGGAACACAATCCTCAGTAAGATAACATTAAGTTCACTATGGATAAGGAAGTTTAACAGATGGGTAGAACACTTTGACAGCACTAATGAACTGTCAGGAGCTGCCGTAAGGATCCCTTCACAGTGTCATCTTGGCATCAAGAGCTGGTGGGCCTCCACACACTTCACAAACGTAGCATGAGCTAAGCGACAACCCCTCCTCCCAACATTTCCAGTCAGCTCTGCTTTCCACCTGAGGAGGGGCAGGAATCAAAACTTCACCCGAGAGGGCCTGGGGCTCCCCACTGATTCGGGAGGGTTTTGGCTTCTGGCTAGGTTGGGTCAGAAGTGCAAAATGCTTCTGCTACTGTGGCTTGGCTCGGGAAAGCCCCGACAGGTCATACGGATGGGAGAAAAATGGAGTGTGCATATTTGCAGTGAGAGGTAATAGGGCCTTTCATGTGGGCAAGCAAGACCTTTTCACAGACCTATGGGCAAAAACCCCCCAACCTCTAGTCAACTTATTTACACAGACCTCAAGATTTGCTTAATGAAAAATATTTTCTCTTTAATCATCCCCTTGTCTCCGGACTTTAAAGAAAGAATACCAGTAATGCTTGAAAAATGCTGTATGGAAAATCTTAGTCAGCTATACCTGTCTAACTCATTTTCTCTCTCAGGAAAATGCAATCAATAGTTTCAGCAGTGCTTGAAGGGGCAAACCTCTGCTGCTGGAGCCAAGCCAAGGATTTCGGCTCTGCACAGGGCTGCCAGACTACAAGTCTCTTTATCCACAGCTACTAATACAGCTGCACAGTCATTGCTCCCCGGCTTTGGAGTGGTGAGGTTTAGGTGAGCAGTTAACTGTGCACTACCTGGCACGTTAGAGGGGAGGCGAGAATGAGAGTAAATAGGAAACTGTTTGTATTACTTCATTGCTTCCCTCCCTCTGTGCCCACTTCTGGGAGATGAAAACAAGGAACAATCTCAGTATTTTTGTTTAGCTGTAAATATTAAATATCTGAAAAAGACACCTTTGTAAAAATTCTTGATGCTTTTCTTACGAGAACTTTGAGATTTTCTTATAGAAAATAGTGCATGTCCATTTGGTGCCCTATGGGTTAAAAACAGTTATTTGAGGGTGGAAAAATCATTTCAGCTGAGAGGGTATTTCCCAGCAATGCTTTGTAACTTCCCTACAACTGCAAATAAGAACAACCACTCCAAAAAGGTTTAAAAGGCAGGCCAGTGATTTCTCAAATAAGCAGTTAAGTTCAAAGACTTTGTTGAAGATTTATATGGGTTTTGGAAAGGGGTTTAAAGAGTTGGAAGAAAGCAGGAGTGTTGAGCTGATTTGCTCAGGAATTTTAGTTCCACAGTGGAACTAGGGGGAGTATAGCAAGAACATGACAATTTAACAGAAAAAGTGAAAACTTTACAGATGTTCAGAAAGCCTGCCATAAAACCAAAGGCAATGCAATGGCCCAGCTGTAGATACCCTGAATTAGCTCCAGCTGAAACTGAAATTCTGCCAAGAGGTAAACGTATCACCCTAGGCCAAAATAACACCAGCAAACTGCAGAACGTTCACATTTTTGGGAGCAACATAGAAAGAAGAGGATTGGGAGCGTAAAATCTCTCTGAAGAGGACAAGAAACCCTTGGCCACACTGCAACATCCTGATGCTCCTTGCACTTAAGGCATACTGACCCAAGGGAGAGAAAACTTGGAGCCAGCACATGGAATGGACTGCTGATGCTCTGTGCCCCTGAGTTATCAGGGGATACCTAGCCTCACCTCATCCGCCACAAGCACAGTACCTGTAGGTAATTAGCTGAAAAACAAGGATATGGATTTTGATCATTGATGGATTTCCTTGTCAACCAAAATAGCAGCATTGTCCCTTGCCATACAGGAGTATGCAAAGGATCTGTAAGTGCAATGAGGGATAAAAATGGACTGCATTAGTTTTACAATGTTTTACCTCCATTCTGCATAGATTTTAACAGAGAGGTCTCTCTATGCCTTCATTAATCACCTATCTCTGCTACTTTTGGTGTCAATGCCCTATCTGAGAAAGCAGGCATTACTGAAGTGCTCAGAGGCAGCAATGCTGTTGCAGGAGTCAGAGGGAGCCTGACCTGGCACTGCCTACAGTCAGCCATAAGTGGGGATAGAGGTTATCTGAGCAGTGGTCATGTTTTGTGCTTCCAAAAAGTCTGACCCAGCATTCAGCAAAATTAAGGTTTATGAACATCAATAGGGAATGCTGTAGGCAACAAACTGGCATATTTGAAAAGTAACATATTGCACTTGAAATTTACTGTGAACTCTCTTGATTTCTCTGAAATGCACATATTGAAATAATAACCATAAATAGCCATCAAATCAGAAAGGGTCAGGAAAAAAAAAACATGATTTGTCCTTGGCTAACATAAAATTGTATATTAAAAATGTACTACAAAAGATTGTTACATTGGAGTCTTTTTCTGTTCTAGGTCTTTTCAAGTTCCCCTTTTCTGTAGGGTTATATTACCTCTCATTTTACTAAGGTACTACCTTTACAACTGCTTTGCACGGAAGGGAATGCATCTAGGGATCTCAGGTCCACGTGGGTGAAAGGAATTCCATAAGACTGTGGAGAAGGCCAATGCACCCACCTTCCTTGCTTGGAGAAACAGGCACTGGGAGCCCACTTGGCATGAGTTATTTCTAGCAACACCTGGACCTCCTTGGTGCTTGAGAATTTGAGCGAAGAATTTCTCATGAGCCTTTGGGAAAACTGCTGGCTTAGCTATTATATGCACAGTCAAGTTGATTTTCTTGCCAGCTATATTTCTTTAAAGATGTGACAGTACAGGCAAAGCTGGGGCAGCTTGTAACAAAGGGGCACATCAGGTTTTTCATCTTTTAAAACTGTAGCTATTGCTAGCTCTGCTAATGCTGTCCATGAAACTCATTTGTAAATCTGTGAGTGTTTAGGCAAGTACATCACATTTGCATCCAAATTTTGCATGCTATGTGAAAGTCAATGGGAGCTATAGATACATATCGACTGTCTGTACTGCAGGTGGGATTGTTTATAGCATTTAAATATGGTACTGAAAAAGGAAACAGAAGTCCACAACTCCTGCCTAATTTAGGAATACAGCCATTCTTTCCAAACCTCTGCAGGGTCTGTGACATTCACTGCAAAACAGTGCCTTTGCACCGCTCCTTGTTCAGCTCTCTTTCAAGAGCAAATTGCCCAAAACTGAGCACTAACTCTTCTGCTCTGTGACGGACAGTCTGCAAACCTGGACATTCACCTTAAGATCTAAAAAAAAATCAATAGGTGAAGTGTTTTGACTGTTCAGAAAGAAGTCAAAGCCAACCCTTATGAAGCAGTTTACTTGGAAGAAACAGGTACGTCCCCAAAACTGCAGATGGCATGAGACCAAACTTGAGATGCTGGTTCCCCAAATGTCCCTGCTCCCCCATCTACCACCCTGCCGAGGCCCACGTGTGCACATGGGAAAGGGAGAAAGCGGCATCAGGATTCATTCTCCCTGGCAGTATCATTTTTGAACAACTTAATTTCCCATCTTGCAGGCTTCTTGCTGTAAGGATGTTTGGTAGTCCATAAGGGTTGTAGGCAGGGGGTGACTTGTGTGAAAGTCCTCTCGTAACTTTTAAATTAGTTGGATGACATCAACACCTCTAAACTAAAAAAAAAAGGTATCTTAAATAAAAACTCTGATCGCCTGTCACTTTCCCATCTAGGTCCCTATCTCTTGCATTCCCTGTGCTATTACAGAAGGAAAGTAAATTAGATATAAGCTAAACATGAGCCAGCGCTCTGGCTCAGCCATTGAACCACATGTTGTAAGGGTTCAGGGGAAGAATTCTCAGTTGCACCAAGGAAATAGAGGGTTTATTCATTTATAGATATTCCTAAAAATGAAGCTGTTTAATCTGGAACTGATCTGAAACACATGCAAGGGCCTCGGCATAACAACAGAAACAACTTAGAAAAACAATATAAAAAACTAGCTTTCCTAAAACTGCAGATTTAAAGAAAATCATTTTCCATTCATTTCAGATTTGCCTTTCACCAGGAATATTACTAGCTAATAAAACTTTCAGAGCACCAGTAATTATGGGTACTGCTTGGTGAATCCACCTGTCATCTGGTTGCAGGGTAGATACGCCTGATTTCTGCGGTCCAAAAAAATTAAATAACTATCTAAACAGAGTTTCATTGGATATTTCCTAATGATTTCTCTTTTGCTTCTCTTAGCTTCATTTTCCACTGTTTCTCAAAAGCCTCATGAACAAAGAACTTCATTCTAAAATGACCCAGGATCATGTTTTTCCTGATGGCAAAATATCAGTTAAAGCCCAAATGAGGACCAAACTGAGTAAAAATTACAGTGAGCCTCATGAGCACTGAGTGGCTGCCTGCCTGGGTGGTGAAATCCCATAGACCTACTAAATCTCCTGTTGTTTATTTTACAGAAAGGAAAATGAAAGAGGCATAGAAGGCCCATTGGAATGAAATGCTATATAAACATGGGAAAAAATTCACTGGAGTACAAATTTTTATCAGTTGCTATGTTTACATATACTTGAGGCCAGAACAGGCCAGAAACCTATGCTTTGACAACACAAGCGTAGTCTGGTCTCTTGCTTTTCGTACAGTACTAATGGGGCAATGCATTTCTTACTCTCCTTGGAAAAAGCCCTTTTCCCTCCAAAGGTATACTTTCTGAGCCCATTTGCCTCTGAAGTTCTACTCTGCAAGGGAGAAGTACTCCTTCCCTAGTTTTACTCGGTGCTGGTTGGCTTATATGGGATGGAGGCTTTTTCTTGCCAGGATATTCGTCTCCATGGGCTGCAACATATAAGTTTGCAATTCCCTCACAGGTGATAACTTCAGCATCTTGCACAGCTGAAGTTTTCCCCAGAGCTTTTGAAGGAGCTACCATACCCCAACTAAAATAAGACCATGTCCCTCTCTTTGTACTGGATCAGAGCCTGAATACTCCTATTCCAATATGGAAAATTATAAATCCCCCTACTTTGCTCCTTCAACACTGTAAGGAGTACTCTACTGGTGAAATAGTAGTGTTTGGGGGTTGTACGTTCAAAGGAGACTTTTAAGAAGTGATTAGAGAGATTCTCTTAAAATAGGTTTGAGTACCAGTGGATAAGGAGTGAAAAATAAAGTATTTGTTTGGCAGTATCATAAAGGAAATTATCATAAAGGGCAAATCAGAAATGGGAGTTGGCCTCTTCATACTGAGCGGGAGACAATAGAAAAGGTGCAGAGAGTTTGCAAAGAGCTTGGAAACAAAAGAGAAGCAACTACCAATGCAGTAATAACAAAGAAAAGCTAGTGAAATCTTCAAAGGGTGAAAGCCATGGGTCTGAGTCGGGAAAATACATGTTTATGAAGCCCAGAGAAAATAAACATGCACCCCTCACATTCTGTTTATTTATTAATTTTCTCAACAGCCTGGCTGCTGGCTCCAGGTGGCAATGCCAGCTCAGGCTCCAACTGGGTTAACAAAGGCACACAGAGGTTACCAAACCAGCAAGCGTATTAACATGATGGCCAGACCTGGAAACCACGAAGGCTGTGCAAGGGCAGAGACTAACCCAAGCATGACTGAGGTCACATTTTTAATACAGTTGAATTCACAATCCTTCATGCACACAGACACCCAGGTTTCCCAGTCACATACTGAGCTCACTGTAATTAACAACTCTCTGTTCCTCTAAGTGTCTGATATAAAGCTCTTTACAACGGCCAGTGTTCTTAACCAGTAAGTATCATCCTCACTAACAGTTAACGTGCCTGCTCCTCTGGTCTGGTCTTCCTGGACTGGACTCCAAGAGTTTTTTATCAAACTTCGCACATGGTTTTACTTTCTGTGAAATCCGGGCTGTTTCCTTGAACTCTTCATCATGCTGAGCCCTATGTGATATAGGGATCAAAATTCTGAGGGATGTTTTAGGGAGGGCACAGTCAGACTAAGTAACTCTAGCAATATCCAAGGTACTAACCATCTTCATTTGTCAATTTACCACTTAAAGGCTTCCTACTTAGCCTTAACTGAAGGACATATCATCACAATGCTATGTTGCTAACTTTGGTCTAAAGGCTTAGTTAATCCTAAACCCATAAACTAGGAAAAATTGTTCAACACTCAGATAGGAAAGGAACTAAATTAGGCATGATTTGATATTTGTGATCAGCTTAGTGTCTGTCGTGTTTAGTCAAAGAACTACATAAAATATAGTTGACTTCTACTTTTACTGTAATTAGGTTTTAGTTAATTTAAAAATTTCTCTAGATTTTGAGATGTAACTGTCTGGGAGGTAAATAATTTTTCATTGACTGAAATATTATCTCTTTCTAGCAACCAGACACAAGAAAGAGAAGAAAAGTGACACTTAGCTTCAAAGGAAGAGGTTGTTTTTTGAAGTATGAGATGCAATTTCGAAAAGATGTTCCAGGAACAAATGTTGCATCTGTGACATGCAACTAGCACTATAACTTAACAGGATTTCCAGGATTTATGAAGAAAACAGCTTTACTTGTTATGTCTCAATTTGGAGCCAGACTGCTGTTGGCTTTCCTCTGAAGACTTTGAGTCAGAAAAGGAGGGGACAGAAAGTATTTGCTACAGCCTCCGTCCAAGAGAAGCTGTGTGAAAATCCCATCGCCTCTCATTTCTGGCATGAACCTTAGGAGACAGCAAGAAACAGCAGAGCCATTGGGACCCAGGGGTGCTCAGTAAGTGCTGGTTTTGCTCTCTTGTCCTGGCATGCATCATGTATTTGTCTGTGTCCAGAAGAGCAATGTTGTCACTGCTTACTCTACAGCTAATGTAATGACACTATTTGCTCTCTTTAATGTATAACAGTGTGCTCACTGTTTAAGCCTGTTCAAACAATATAAAAACAGTGCAAAAATCAGTAAAGGTCAGATGAATATGATAGGGTCCTTCTGAAAGTGCTGCGGATACTGTTAGATTTTAGTAGCTGGGGACATTAAACTCGCATTAGCTATCTGTGTCATAGATTAACTCATTCAATAGATTAATTCATTCATGAACAGCTGCCACAGCTGACTATGGCAATGACAATCTACCCTGTACAAAGAAGCTCTTCTTTAGCCAGCTGAGAAGGTGGATGAGTTTTTCACTGTTGTGAAAATGATTTTTGAATGAAACTTTTAAAGAAACAGCAATGGGGCAGACATGGATCTCTGAGCACAAATTATAGAAAGCTGCAGGATTTCTAGGAAGGAGTAGTTCTCACCATTACTGCATATCTAAGCTATCCATGTCTTTGGTACAGAGATAACGGCTCCCTGTACAGCACATAGAGACTATCAGAGCAGAGGCCCCCATAGCAGAAATAGATCCAGGGTGTCTCATAGCAGAAAACCTCAGGAAACTCAAAAACAAATCTGCAGCTTCATATGAATGGACCCCAAAGCAGACATCCTACCTCTGGCTGTTGATGGGGTGGGAGGGGAGGGATCTGAGTGACATGAAAGGATCAGTGCCAATGTGGAGAAGGAAGCTCAGGGCCTTTTCTGTGCGGGTGACTGAGAGGTGGGGGAGACTGGGGGAAAGAGGGAGGATAGGATAAATAGACCAATAAGAAGATGAGAAAGAAGTGGTGATGAAAGCATGCTGAGGATTACAACATGGAGCAACAGCAGGACTTGACCATTTGGAAAATACAGAGGCAGTTTCTCATATCTGATGTTACTTACATTATTCAGAGAAGTAATGGTCCCAGAAGAAAGTGAGCACAATCCTTTTTTTGGGGTGTGCTGCTGAACAGGTCCCATGCTGCAGCCCCATGTCAGCCCCTATGTGACCACCACAGTGAACAGAAAAAGCAATATTCCTTAAGTGGGGGTGGGACCAGCATGAAAACCAGGCTTATCTCAAGTAGCCCCCAGCAACACTGACTTTGCATTATATTCTAAAAGCAGGTCTTGGCAGAGGCAGGTGACAAGGTCAATATCTTCTCTCCTATGAGTTTCTCCATGGTCTTTGCAATGCTCTCCCAGGGATCAAAATGACAAAATGGAGTCAACTACACAAAGACTGGAGAAGCAGGAGATTCATGAAGGTTTTCAGTGTCTCCTCCAGATACTGAATGACTGTTACAGGAGTTGATGACCAAGCATCACTGCTCCACATACTTCTGGATGATGCCCAGAGGTTGCATGATGCAAACATTTTTGCTAGAAACTTCCAGAAAACTTCAGACGCTGAAAATCAAATCCATTATTACAGAGAGATTTAAAAAAAAAAAAAAAAAAAAAAAAAGCAAAATTATGAAAGAGAACAGAGATTTTTTTTAAGGGAAAGATACTTTGCCACCTCTGAGAGCATGTAACCCTTCCCAGGAAGACCATCTGACACTGCAGAGGCAGCTCAGGAAAGGGAGGAGAGAGTTTCAACCTTGGGACACCATCCTAACATTTCTGTTGCAGCTAAGGACTCCTGCCATAGTCCAGCTTTCACCCACTGCCTAACTGTGCCTAAACATACACACTGATGCACATGTTGTTGTTCTTAATAGTTCTGCAGTTTTACACATTTCTTGTATTCAGACCCACCAGCCAGATCAGTCTTCGTTCTGACCACACCTCTCAGCTCCCTTCTTTCTCATGTCTAGCTCAGAAGTATCCACCCTAAAGCCCTTTCCTCTTCAGAATGAAAAAGGAAAGCTGCTTAGCAATAACTTCACTTTTCTGGAAGAATTTTGCATATATATATTAATTTTCCACTCTCTCAATTTCTTTCTTCATGTATCATCTGAATTTGGGATCTCTAGCTGAGAAGAGTTGAGAGCATATGGCACACTTGACTGTATATGTACTCATGATACATACAGGACACTGCCAAGGCAAAAGTCTCAAGCGATTCTACAATTTACTGTTGTTAACTGATTGTCTATAAGTAGCTTTCCACTTTGGGGGACTCCACATAACACTTTTACTGCAGTAATAATTACCCTCATTTGAACCCCAGAGTCCTTCACCCCAAGGTGCTCACCTTAGCCTAAAGCAGCTTCTATTCCCAACATCTGTGCAATGGTGTGCTGACTAGTCAAAACATGCATGGAAAATCTGCAAAAATTAAATAACAGAGAGAAAATAAGAAAGAACAGAGAGAGCCCTCGCTGGTGTTGCAACATGCTGGAACAAACACATGGAAATTCCTGCCGCAGTTCAAGGTGAAAAGGTTGACTTTGTAGTATCCTCATTACTTGTAAATGGCACTAGGATGTCGCACTTAGCAATTATTCCTTACATCTTGAGCTTCTGGCAGGGGATAGAGTCGGGTGAGTAAACAGCACCTACAGGAGGAAAAGGGGTTTGTAACAGAGGCAGCCCTGTGACCTAAAGCCAGTGCAATGTGGCTGCCCTGGGATGGCTGGAAGTGACTCCAAGAACTGAAACACCTTGGCGAAACAAGCTCTTCTCTTAGACAGAACCAGGAATGAAAAGGAAATTAGGTCGTTCCAACAGATTCTAGTGCAGGTTTCCAGAAGGCTTTCTGGGGAAATCCTGAGGACCTGAGACCTAAGAATCTGTAGAGGGATTTGAAGGGACAGTTCATTTCCTTATTCTAAATGCTTGTTATTAATCATTTCAGATAACAGCCACTTCAGATGCAATGAAGAATATCCCTGCCCAGTGTCAATGAGCTGCCACTCCGAAAAACAGCTCACTAAAAGCACCTGCTTTCGATTCTGAAACCCTTGTGGCCCACCACCCTTGATTTAAGGACATGCTGTGCTCAGCCTTTCTCTGCGCTGTCTGTGCTACCAAAATTGGTTTTGCCTGTTTTCTTTCAGTGGAAAAGATCCACCATCCACTGCCCATCACTTCCCCTCATCTTTCTCCCTGCAGCAGCACAGGGAATAGGGAAGTGCAGCAGCCACTGCAGGTGTTCATCCACTGAGATGCTCTAGACAATGTTACTGTCTGTAACTCAGACCCTGCCCCTCGTGGTTTGCTTTATGCATAGGCAAAAATAGAAAACAGTGTAGGATGGCTAAATAGCAACACTGATAGACATCCATGCTGCTGTCTGTACTGATTGTGATAAATGCCGGGTTACTTTTAATTTTCTTTGGCTACTGGGTTGGAGGTAAGAAGGCACCAGAGGTCCAACAAGCTTTTACTACAAGGGCAAGACAGCACTGCATGAACCACAGTCCCACTGGTTCTTCCCTCTCTCCATTGCTCAAGACTCACCAACTGCAGGAACACGACCAGCTGGTCATTACCAGGGAGGAGTTGGGATCTTTAACAAAGTGTTATGTCTCAGGTCTAAGGACAAAAGAGGTTATAAATTATCTGCTTTAGACACCTGCGAATTCCACATTGCAGTTCATCATTTCATGGTCTATCTGTGGTTTCTTGTTGGTTTTCTTCCACTTCTTCCTACTGACCAGAACCACAGCCTTCTTCCTGACTGTTTTTGCAAATGTGAATTCAATTTATTGAGCAAATAACTGCAGATTTCACCTTGCTAGATCACCCTCCTCTGCTTATACTACCTGAGTCCAAAAGATGCAGGGCCTCCTCCAGCTGACTGACGTGGCTGATTTCCATCTCAGACCTGGGACCAGCTGGTCTCTCATGCCCTCAATATTGTTCTCCTCAAACACACATGAAGGAAGTAGGAAAAAAGCAAAACTCAAACAGGTTTCATAAGAGCACTGCTATTAATAATATCTCATAGCGATTTATCATTACCAGAACTTTCCATGCATAATTTCTGTCATATATTCCTTGTGCTTTCATGGCACTCAAGAGTTTCAGTCACCAAAAGCAGAACTCAGCTGCTGCTGGAGTGAGTGTGCGTGGGCCGGGAGCCTTTCCCCTTGGAGGCAGGCTGGTGCCTGTTCATAGTCCTCCACACCCTTCCCTAATCCCCACCAGTCTCATCCCCAGATCTGCCCCGAGTGAATCAAACACCATGCCAGAGCAGTGCTAACAACCAGTTTCAAATTTGCCCTTTGAATGAATAACATTGTCAGAAAACCACTTTTCATTTTCTCAGTAAATGAGCTGAAAGGTTCTCCAAGTGATCAGCATGTTTAGTCTGACCCCAGCTGAAAAGCTGCGCGTTACAGAGCTGGGGGAGGTACTGTAAAAGTCAGACAAAATTTGAAAGAAGCTTTTTAGAATACTTTTCCAGTTCAGAAACTGTCAAAACTAAATGCTTTAAATTTTCATCTAAAAACTATTTGGGGAGAGACTATTCAGTAGATTCAGCAAAAGCTTCAGCAGTTGCTCTGGGCAACCCAACACAACATGTTTGGCTGAAGACGAGTTTTGACAGGAGGATTTCACCCTGTCAGAGGCTCTTCTCTTTTTACCATGCAGCTGACCTCCCTCTAAGTGGAAAGTCCTTCAGCATTTGTGAAAAAAAGAAACACAGGCAATATCTACATTATTTGCTGTTCCTCAGGAATGATTATCTGTCTTTGGTCTGATTCATGTTTATGATATAGTCTGGGTTCATAACACTGTTTAACAGCAGAAGGAATATGAACAACAGGACAGACTCAAAGAGCTCTGCTGCTCTGACCTTCTCCCTGTGCATTGGAAATAATTGACTAGAAGAGGAATAAATGTCTGCAACAAATGGCCAGATTTAGAAACAGCTACTGAGCACCAGATCTTCCACAAACTGAAACTTTCAGGGGCCCAAAGGGACCACCGGTAGCAATGCTCAGCTGTTTCTTTTAGCTTGCCATCTCGTCACCTCCATGGCCAACGTCCTCCAACAGCTGGGTGAGTTTATGAGCTGCAACAGAGAAAGGTAGAAAGCATAAAGCCAGGAGGCTGAATAAAAAACAATTCAAGTCTTCTCAATATAAGCAAACAAGGTTAACAATTAAAGTAGGCATGGAGGCTCATTTTTACTGAATAAGAGATATTTCAGGCCATTCCTCTTCACCAGAAGCCATCAGGTAACTCCTGCCTGCTAATATCAGTGCACACTGGGCACTCTTTGGAGAGATTGTGCTGGATGTATCTGTGTATGCCCAGGTTACTCGTGGTGATGGTCAAGACCAGCTGGGTCTGTTTGCTATGTGGCTGTAATCACCATCTTGTAAATAGTAGCAGACAAAATACAATCAGTGACAGGTAAAACCATCTAAATAAATGTTGAATTTGCACAACTGTCTGTTTAGGCATTAGGAAATACAGCAGTTAATGTAGCACTGACAAATATGTCTCAAGACCCCTGTGCAAATATTCTGTGGTACTATCTTTACATTTGCTTTTGGGGAGGCACCTTGTTTTTATTTTGAAATAAATGCTGGATATTGCTTAACTCAAGTATATGAATATCTGTGGTTGGAAGTGAGACTGAGTTCTCAGAGTGGGGGGCTTCCAGCTTGTATCTGTACACCTTAGAGTCACAACTTGTCAGCTGGAAAAACAGAAGTCATGGGTTGTCCAGGCAGCTGATAACCTGGCAGAGGGATATACAGATGGCAGGATGAGCTGAACAGAAATGCAAGAAGCATTTTTCCTCAGGCCTAGGAAGGGACCTAGACAAAAGCATCCCCTTTACTAGAGGGGGGAAAATTCCTTCTATCCCACAACAGGACCAGAGAAAATACAGGAAAGCAACATCATGTTGGTACTAAACCCTCCCTCCTGGCCTCCCTCACCTGCAGCAAAGTGTGAGCTCAGAAACTCTGGTGCGTCTGTAATGCTCTTTGGCTTCATGGATCCTTCACTGCTACAATCCCTCCTGCTCAGTAGCTCCGGTGCAGCTGATCACCACAAAGATACAGACCAGCCTGATAACACATATGGTGTAAGTCAAACAACAATAATTCCTGAAAAATGTTCCTCTCCCCGTCAGTATTTCCATTATTTTTGCAGTGTTAGTGTTGGGTAAGAGATCTGCCACACTGATCGGAACACCAAAAGCCTTTTTCTTTAATTTGCCAGAGAGCTGAGGAAAAGGAGATAGACACGAGTTCATGTTATCTCATTAAGATGCTAAATTATTCATAAAATGTCCTCATAAAATTAAATATGGGAAATGTCATGTTCACAGATAAGTGGCTGCGGCTGCTACAGATGTGAAAGATGTTTATGAAGCAGATGCTTTCTCTAGTGACCTTCGGCATTCACAAAAGCTGAGCAGCAGATCAGTAACTATACAAAGCAGAAAACACATGAGAAAATCACTGGTGAAGCCAAAGGTTTTGATCCCACAGACAAGGCAATAATTTTTGTCAGCAACATTTTTCTCGGTTGTAGGAAGCATAAGGCAAGAATAGTAGGTGTAGTCCTGCCAGGTCTCACTCACTGATGTCTCCCAACTCTCTCAGGCTTCTGCCCAGCCACCTCTGGGGTGCCAGGGAGGTCCTGGGGGCACTGTGTGATCCTGTCCCCACTCAGGAGCATGTCCTGTGAGCAAGGACTCCAGCTCGGGGACACCTTGGATGAAAGTACCTTCTTCTGGGAGCTTGTGGCCCTGCCTGACCCAGCACTTGGAGCCTTTTATGTAGAACCAGAAAAATGCTGAGAGATCTCTAAATCAATTTTTTTTTAATGATTTGCAGCAACAACAGTGTTAAGGGTACTTCTAAAAGATCTTAATTTGCAAACATACAAGCATAAATTCCATGCTTATATGGTTCTGAGCTCTGTTGATGCCAGAAATACCAGTAATCCACCTAAAAGCTTTGGAAAAGCCCGAAGAGAGTCAAATTTCTAATGCTAACTGTAGTCTCAACTCTGATTCACATTTGCCTAAAGATGCTTGAAGCAGGAAAGTTTTTTTCCAAGGAAGAGTATCTGGAGTTCTAGTGACTGATCACCTGTTTGAATGCAATTCAGTGCAAACTATGTTGTAACTAACTTGTAAAGGCATTAAGTACACTGTTTTAAAAATGTTGAGCAATTCATTGAAGAGCTATTGGAGAGTGCATGGATATTTCACCTTCAGATACTGGCACAAGGCCTAGCAAGGGATTATCACTGGGGACTTACCACGAAAATTCATAATGCATGGTCACCATGGAGATTTTAGAGCTCTATTGCATACGTCTGATAGAATTAGAATTGTATTGTTACATACTACACATATAGTTGTATACAGTATTTAACCTGTACTGTCAAGACCTGCTGGTCAGACTAAAGGGCATGAAGGAAATGCACAGGCAGTGGAAGCGGGGACAGATAACCTGGGAAGAATATAGGGACACAGCCCAGTTGTGTAGGGATAAGGTCAGGAAGGCTAAAGGTGCAGCTGGAGCTGAACTTGGCAAGGGTGGCAAAGAATAATAAGAAGGGCTTCTATTGGTTTGTCAGCCAGAAGAGGAAGGTTGAAGAAAGTGTACCCCCCTGATGAACACAACTGGCAAACTGGTGACAACAGTCAAGGAGAAGGCTGAGGCAATCAACAACTTTTTTGCCTCAGTTTTTACTGGCAACCTCTCTTCCCACACCTCTTGAGTGGATGGACCTCAACGCAGAGACTGGGGGACCATAGTACCCCCCACTGTAAGAGATCAGGTTAGGGACCACCTGAGGAACCTGAACATACATAACTCTGTGGGGTCTAATGAGATTCATCCCAGACTCTTGAGGGAATTGGCTGATGTAGTTGCCAAGCCACTCTCCATGATATTTGAAAAGTCATGGCAATCAGATCAACTGCATTCACTTTTAAAAAGGGTAGAAAGGAGGACCCTGGGAACTACCAACCTGTCAGCCTCACCTCTGTGCCTGGGAAAATCATGGAACAGATCCTTCTAGAAGCTATGCTAAGGCACATGGAGGACAGGGAGGTGATTTGAGACAGCCAGCACAGCTTCACCAAGGGCAAGTCTTGCCTGACCAACCTAGTGGCCTTCTGTGATGGAGTGACTACATCAGTGGACAAGCAAATACCTATGGATGTCTATCTGGGCTTCTGTTAGGCCTTTGACATGTTCTCCCACAACATCATTCTCTTTAAATTTGAGAGATATAGATTTGATGGGTGGACTGTTTGGTGGATGAGGAATGGGTTGGATGGTCACATCCAGAGGATAGTGGTCAATGGATCAATGTCTGGATGGAGATCAGTGATAAGTGGTGTCCCCGGGGGACCGTACTGGGACAAGTACTGTTTAATGTCTTCATCAGTGACATTGACAGTGGGATCGAGTGCACCCTCAGCAAGTTGGCAGATGACACCAAGCTGAGTGGTGAGGTTGACATGCCTAAGGGACAGAATGCCATCCAGAGGGACCTGGATAAGCTTGAGAATGGGACCCACATGAACGTCATGAGGTGTAAGGTCCTGCACCTGGGTCAGGGCAACCCCCGGTATCACAGAATCACAGAATCATATAATTGTTTAGATTGGAAAAGACTTAAGAAAAAGAGTTGAAGACATCTGTGCTCATTGCAAGGGGGGTTGGACTATATAACCTCTAAAGGTGCCTTCCAATCCAAACCATTTTGTGATTCTATGATTCTACAAATAATTACAAACGTTCCAGTTAGTACGTCTGGTCAGAAGGAAGAAGGTAGAACAAATACAAAGGTAACGGCAAAATATTATTTAAATATGATAAAGAAGATAAATTTAAACTGTAGCTGCTTCATTTTTTTTTTTCAGAATGCCCCAGTATTTCTGATTCTGCAGAAAGCATGCCACAATGGAGAAGCCCCAGTAGAAAAATAGCATTCAGGCTTGTGTAATCCTCCCAAATACAGCAGTGCAATCTCCAAATGTAGTCCAGATGCCAATAAAAATACCAGGGGACAAGTGAAAAAGATTTAAGTTGAGCCATTCTTTTCAGCAAAACAAATATAATTACATCAAAATGTGTATTTTTAATGGCTACAGGTATAAGCTGGCAAAGACTTCACTCGGGAAAATCAAAACAGAATGTTTTCTCTGGTATCAGCTGACAGCATGTTTCTGCATCCGTTTGCCCAAGTGCAGTGCCATCCTGTGAGCTGTGGTACCCAGATGAGCTCTTTCTCCCCCTTGCACCCCACTGCCAGGGCAGAGCAGCTTTCCTTGGCCCTTCCTGAGGCTGGGTTATGTCCGGGCATCAGGATGCACTGCAGTCTAGCGAAAACATGGATGGGGAGTAGTGGTCCCTCAGGGAGCCATGAACAGCTCACACTGAAATGAAGACTTGCTTGGTCTGTGCAAAGCAAAACCCAATTTCCTTTTCTGGGAAAGATTAAATGACTTTTTTCAGTACACACTGTTGAAACAAAATATACATTTCCTGACTCTTCTTTCAGTATTCATTCTAGAGAGAAAGTGTGAAAATTGGACATTTTTTGCTGTTTGGAAATTAAGACAAACATCTAAACACTGAAAACATAAGCTTCTATCTTCTATCTTCAATTGCTAGAAGCCAACTGGACAAAAGCTTTGCTGAACTGCCTGAGGAAGATGATTTTCCTGCAGATCACCAAACAACTGCGTTTTCTCTGGGAGGACAATGTATTATGAACACCCTGGGTGAGTGTGGCAAGCTGCTGGGCCTTCTTCTGTGGTTATGTTCCCTGGGAAATGCCAGCGGGTTTTTCACCCCACCTGATAACACACAAAGAGAGGGGACAGAAGATAACCTGCCAGAAGAAATCCTGAGCTGTGGAGACAAACAATTTCACAAGTAACCCTTCAGCTGCTCTTTTCTCCATGGATATTTTAGATGGGGATAAAGCACTGAATTATACACCATAGTTTACTTTTCCCTTGACTGGAGGACTAAGCAATAAAGCTTGCTCCCCTCTGGGTGAGCTGGATGGGGCAATGCCTTCCAGGACCTCCCAGCATGTCTGCTCATTGCTGGGAGACACCAGGTCCAAAGGGAAACTCCCCTGAAACAAATCAGGTGGAGACAGTGGGTCCTCAGCACCAACCGGTTTGCTGCTCAGCCATAAAATAGCTCTATATTAATGTTGTGCTTACTAAAGAAAAAAGACAAAATAAGACTAAATTATCTGCCAAAACCAGTTTTGAAAATCTGCATTTCCTTTTGTTGAATGCTATAGATCATCTCTTTCACCTCCTTCCCAGAGAGATTTCTCTTTTTATTTACCACTTATGTACTGGGAAAAGTCTTACACACCATGGGGACATGGAATAGATACTAATATTCGGTCATCAATCATGGTTGCTTATGTTTTCAGTAAATGTTCATACTGAATCTTTTCCACAATAAATTTCACTGAAACTATTCACATATCTTTCAGACTGAACCTTGCTATTTTTCTCCCCATTCTCTCCCATGTGCGCTCCTATACTTTTCTGTGGGTTTAACAGATCACCACAGGATATTTTAAGCTCAAAGTTGAGGGTAGGGAACTAATAACTTTCACTGCACAGCATTTCTAGAGCAGATGGGCGATTATGTAGTGTGTGTAACCTGATACTGGTTTAAGCATGTCATAAATACAAGGAAGTAAAACTAAACTTGTGCCAAAATCTTCACTCAGTTACCCTAATTATGTGTACAAATGCCAGATATTGCCATCAGTCTACTTATCTGTACAAACAGCAACTTTTAGTGGTTGTGAATAAAGGCTTTGCCTACTTGCATGCAAAGTATTCTATAATATTTCAAACAATATAGTCACTTAAACGCTTTAATCTTTATTGTAGGTTTCTTTTTCTGAGCAGTAGCAAATGTTTGTGTAACCTAAGATTGTCCAATGGGCATGAGCTCATGGACCTGCTCAGGAAAATTAATGGGACCAAAGTATTCACCAAAGCAGCCCATGCTTGTTGGGAATTACTGGGAAGTTAAACTGTGCTGTTCCAAGCAGGCGACCAATGCCTGGATATACCTCTGGGTACGTCCCATACATACTTTAGGAAGGGTCTGCCTCCCTACAGGACATTTCATCAGCCCAGACCCAGGCAATTCCTACTTGTTTTGATGAGAAATAAGTTAATAATGCATCATTCCTAGTGAAGAACCTTCATACGCTCCAGGGACGACTGCGACCTCTCTATGCCTGCTTGGTGCAAGCATCAGCACTGGCTTCTACCCCAGCCCTAAGCTCAGCTCAACAAGGCAATTCCTGCTTTGCTGTGCCCATGCAATACACAGTGCCATCTCATGGGTTGCTTGACCAAGTACAGACATCTGATAGAACAGGATTTATTTTAATTTGCTAGTTTATAATTAAAGATGAGAGTGAACTTCTATGCCTGAGTTATCCAGTTGTTGGGACAGCAATGCATGGGACAGGCCTGCCAATCTGCTTGGACCTCCTGATGGTGCATGGTCTTTCCATTAT